CTAACTGCTGGTTCCCACTGCTGGTCTCTTTTGATAACTTTTTTTTTTTTTTGCATGCAGCTTTTCTTACAGGGCATGTGAGTTTCTCACTCAGCACAGACTTCTGAGAACTTCCCTAGTATCACACAGCTCTCTGCCAGGTTGAAGACATCTCCTCTTTGGAACCCTCACTAGCACCCACTTTCAATCTAGTTTCAGGTCTAATCAGTGATTGCCTTGGCAGAGAGGCACCTGGGCTTTCCAAGTCACCTTCCTAAACCAGAGCACCCCAGAAATCCTGCCCATTGGGTCCACACCAGTCCTCAGCAGCCTCTAGAGCAGAAGCAAAGCTACTATTTTATCTCTGAGCACCTGAGACCAGCTCCTACCTTACTGTCTCAGGTCCTAGTCTCACCTGCACCACAGCTGTGACTTTGCCTCCCATGTCTGCACGAGGTGGCCAGAAACAGGAGCACTGACCACCATCCCTACCATCTGCTCTCCCATGGGCGCCAGGCCCTTTGTTGGGGGACAGAGCTTCCATAGGAGAACTGCCGCCAGAAGCCTCTTCCTAATGCCTCTGAGGTCTATGCTGAGGCTGTTCACCTCCCTGGCCTCCTGACTCGCTGAAAAGGAAGGAGCAGGAAGACCTGGGCCCCTGCTGCCAGAGGGAAGCAGGCAGTCACTAGGGGCTGGGTTCCTGGGTTCAGGGCTGACTCCCTTCACAGCTCAGGTTGCAGATCTTTTCCTGACACGTGCAGGACAAGGCTTGACTCTGTATGCGGGCTGGCAGAGAAGATGAAAGTTGAGGGTGAAATGGCTTCAGAAAGATCCAAGAGTAAATAAACAAGGGGAAGAACATTGCGGTTGCCAGGCCTCTCCGCACAGAGCGAGGGTGGCAGGAGCAGCCGTTCTCTCAGGAATTCACAGATTCTGAGCACCATAATAGTTGATGGGGCTTTAGAGATCACTCGGGCCACTGCTTTCACCTGGTAGAAGAGGAAAGAACAAGGTCACAACCACCCAGCAGGCCAGTGGTCCAGCCAGACCAGGCCAGGCCAGTGCAGGGGAAACCCCAGAAGTCAATCCCAAATGTGGGTAGTAACTACAGCCATGGGAGGTCACAGAGAGAGGGGTGGGAGAGATGGAAGTATGAATGAAACCTGGTTCTCCCTTCCAGAAAGATAGTCTTTAAAAAATTCTAAAAAGTATACTAATGGGAACCAGTAGTTAGCGTAATGGCTATGTTGCTGGACTCCCACCTAGCCGACCACGGTTCGCGTCCCGGACCCGGTGGCTTAAAACACGCCGGGCACGTGTGCGTGCGTGCCCAAGATCCCGAGAGGAGAATGGAGGAGAAGGGACTGCAGCGTGACCATCCCCCCTGGGGGGTGATTTCTCGCTTTCTGTCTCTATGTCTCCTCTGTCTGGCGAGTGCACGCGCCCTATAGCGAAAACCTCTCGAAAAAAAAAAAAAGTATACTACTTACAAATAATAAGAATAATTCTAAGAACCCAAAAAAG